AAAGTAAGAAAGCAAGCCACCATGTCTGGGACTCAGACCACACTCAGCCATGTGAGAGTCCAGTGCCTTTAACCACCAGGCCACCTACTGGATCCAAAATGCCCATGCTGATTCATCAGGTTAATGTTAGACTGGAGTGGTGAAATGACGGGATGGTGGGAAAAGTGTGTTAAGATTGGGAGTGGTGACTGGGGGGTGCAAGAGACATGATCTTGTTAGAGACCTATCCCTGGTTTTTGTTTTTCTTGTTACATGTCCTGCCATCTTCAAATTCCCGTATCTTTAATGCTGTAATTGTCTTTCAGTTACTCCATTCTATATTCACAAAGAACTTAGTCTTCATCTTCACAATACTCCCTCAACCTTCTAGTTTTGAATCTCTTAAACACCGTATTAGTATGTTATTGGGGGTGGTGGTGGTGGTGGTGGTTTAAATGCAGGATGATTGGCAGGAGGTGAATATGGGCCAATTTTAGTATCTTGTATTTGTCTGCGGTTTTTGCCAATCTGGCTATCATGTGCCCCAGAGAAGAGCTACTTGGATTGATTATATTAGGAGCCCATTGTATTTTGGTGATCTGGATATTTGAATACCTCTCTAAATGTGGAATTTTTTCTTCCACTATTTCATGGAATATATTATCAATGTCCTTATTAGTTTCTTCACCTTATGTGATACCAATTATTCAAATGTTTGGGCACTTAATGGTATCCGTTATTTCTCATATATTATTCTCATTTTGGGGGGTTATTTTCTGTTTTTTTTGTGTTTTTTTTTCTAGGTCAGAGGTTTTGTCTTCTATATTCAAGATTTGATCTTCGGTATGGTCTGATCTGCTTTTAATACTTTTGAGAGAGGTTTTGATTTCTTGTATTACAGCCTTCATCCCTAACAACTCCATTTGATTCTTTTTTATGGTGTGTATTTTTTTTTTTCCAAATTGTGAAACAACTTCCTCAGGTCCTGGGACTCATTGTCTCTTTTCTATTGGACCTTCTCAAGTTCATGTTCATTAATTCTCATCTCTCACATCTCATTTAGTTTTGTCATTATGAATATTCCAAATTCTTCATTGGGCACTTCCACTAGTTCCATTATACCATCTGATGATATGATGAAGAGTTGCTCTTTTCCCTTGAGAGAGAGTTGTGGGGTTTTTTTTGTTTTGTTTTTGTTTTGTTTTGTTTTGTTTCTCTCTTCTGGGGTGGTTTCTGGTCATCTGATGGATTATGTTTCTTTCTAATTTCTTGGAGTTAATTCTGAGTTTTCAGAGGCGTGTCGGAGGAGGTGATCCACAATATCTCTGCAGTCCTGTTTCCCTAAATCTCCCCAAGAAACCTGCACTTTGGAATTGGATATTACAAAGGCCTCACAGTCTCTAGGGAATAGGTGTACCTGCTCTAAGATACAGGGTTTGAACTTAGAGTTTAGAGGTATGTGGGAGGAGAGAAGCCACTATATCTCTACAGTACTGTAATCCCCCTCAAACAAAAACAAAAACAAAAACAAAAAAGGACAAACAACCAAAAAAGGAAAAAAAAATGTTTTAAAAAGTAAAAAACAAAAGTTGTGCAGTGTTTGTGCACAGCAGGCCACACCTCAGATATAAAAGGTTACTAATGAGTTTTAGTGTCTGGAAGATGGTATGTAGAGCAGAGATTCTTCATTCTTCTTGGCCCCTGAACATGGCAGGACATATCTCTGATATAAGTGGCTACTGTCTGAGTTTTGGTGTCTGGAAGATGGGGTTTACAACAAAGATTCTTTATTCTCCTTGGGCCCTGAACATGGCAGGGAAAATTTCAGATATAAATGGCTTCTTAGTTTTGAGCTCTGGAGAATGTTCAAAATTATTTGTCTGGGACCAGCAGTTAGTGTAATAGCTAAGTCAATGAACTCCCATGTAGTCAATCATGGTTCGAGTCCTGAAC